GAAAAGGACAGTAAGAGAAAAAAAAGATACTCTATTCACATTCGTTGGCTAGAGTTAGCCACCCCCCAATTGCCGAACTTAGTCGGTCTTCACAGTACGGCCCCTCCGCTAGTCCAGTAGCTCGTTTCTGTTCCGATTCTCTACCGGGGCGAATTCATATATGCACTCGCCGCCTTGTTCTCTACTGCTAAGGAGTAGTAATGAATGACGTATATTCCCTACCAGCAGAGAAATGATCGGTAGGGAAGAGTTACAGAAGCGAGTTACAGCCCTACATGACTAAGCTTCGAGGAAAGCCATGCAAGGTTGGACCCCGGGCAGTCTGCGGGCGGTCAAGGTTTTACCCTATCGCTAAGTTAAATATTTGCAAAAACGTGTATATATATAAATTTGAGAAAAAACGTGATTATTAAATTTTGGAAAAAAAAAATACTTTACTTTCGGATCGCTCTTCGTGACGGATGACATTGTCACGGCCGGATGTCAGATGCATGGAACCTACCGATCGGTTTGCCATTCAAGTCCTCCAAATCGTACAAAGCATTGCCTACCTTTCGCAGAACACGACACTTGATATATTTAGGCAAGATTTTAGCATTTATGCCTTGCTTAAAATTGCTAAGAGCGAAGTTTTTCCGGAATACTTCTTGTCCTTCCCGGTAATTTACAATCCGCGTACGTTTATTGTACGTGTTCGCTGCCCTGTCTTGCGCTAGCTCAAGGTTATTTCGTATGTGTTCGCGAATGTTTGCTAACTTGTCAGCTCTGCTTGTAATCGGGACTTCGGCTTGTCTTAGGCTACCCATTTTCTCCAGTATGTTATAGGCTGACGCATGTTGTATCATATTTTGTCCGAATAACGCGTAGTAAGGCGAGCTCTGAAACGACGTATGGTAATCGCTTCTTAAAACTGACAGAATTTCGGGTATATGTCTGTCCCAGCCCATGTGATCTTGTTTGTCCTTCAGGAATATTCTTACTTTCGAAACAATCTCTCTGTTCACTCGTTCAGAGGCGTTAGCCTGCGGTGAGTATAACCCCGTCTTAATGTGAACAACCCCATAGTTTTCAAAAAACTGCTGCATCTCCTTCGAAATGAATTGCTTCCCGTTATCACTATGAACGAATTGAGGGACCCCGAAAGCTGGAAAAATCTCTGTACTAAAGAAGCTAATTACGTTTGCCGACGTTGCGTTTTGCATCGCCTTCAAAAATACGTATTTGGAAAAATGGTTTGCACTATAAACAAAAACTGGTTTCTTCGCTTTGAATCTGGGTAGGGTCCTAAGAAATCGCAATAAAGACGCTGAAGTGGCCTCTCAGATACGAAGGCATTGCCCATAGGTGGTCTGGACACTTGATTTGTGGCTTTCACGGCTTTGCAGGTTTCACAACGGTTTACATAGAGGCGTATGTCCTTTGCCATTTGCGGCCAAAAATATTTCTGCCGAACACGCTCTGAAGTCTTTTGCCAACTTCCATGGTAACTAGCATTGGAATCATGTGAGCATTTGATTTGCGAGCTCCGTCAGCCCTTCCGGTAACCACAAACGCCAGAGCGAAACCTCTTCCTCTTTCACACCTCCTCGAAACATCATTCTTTTGTAAACTATATTTTCGATTATGCGTAGATCGGGTAACCCTTCTTGATTGTTTTTAATTGTTTCACGAAGCTCCGAGTACTCTGCGCCGTCGAATTCCGGTGATGCTAAATCAATTTCCAGGGGTGTGGTAGAAGACAATTCGTCCACGTCAAAACGCGAAAGGGTGTCCGGCACAATATTCAATGATCCTTTGCGATGCTCCATCCTAAAGTTGTATCTTTGCAATAGAAGCGACCATCTTGCCAGCCTGCCACTCAAGTCTTTTTGTGTCATTAGCCACTTGAGACTTGAATGGTCAGTAATTATTCGAAAAGGCAATCCTTCAATATATGGTCTGAAACGCTTGACACTAACTATTGCGGCGAGGCATTTAAACTCGGTGACCGTATAATTTCGCTGAGCATTATTAAGCTTCTTCGATACAAAAGCTATGGGATGCTCTGCTCCTTCCTCATCGAGCTGGAATAACACGCCTCCTACTCCTATTTTGGATGCATCACATTGGATCACGAATTCTTTACTAAAATCGGGTTGTGTCAAGACAGGCGCTGAGCAGAGTGCAACTTTAAGTTTACCAAATGCTTCGACTGCCTCAGGAGTTAGCTTAAATGGGCCAGGTGACTTTCGAAGGCAATCTGTCATTGGACCGGCCAAATCTGCAAAGCTGGTAATAAACGACCTGTACCAATTTGCCATTCCTATAAACCTGCGAACCTGACGAGGAGACTTGGGAATCGGAAAATCATTTATGGCTTCTATTTTGCCTGGGTCTACTTTCCATTCCCTATCAAGTACCCGAGATACCGAATTTCCTTCTGGCAGAACTTGCTCTTCTTTACGTTGATAGTGAGTCCCGCATCCCGCAAGCAGGTAGCAGGTAGACAAAGACGTTCTCCCGTAGTCGTGAAGGGATAGCCTTATCCATCAGCCGACTCATTGTTTTTAGTCCGTTGCACAGGCCAAAGGGCATTACTTTAAAGTTGTGAAATGGCTTTCCGGGAACCGCAAATGCCGTCTTTTCCTTAGACGATTCCATTTATTTGATTTGGAAGAAAGCATCTTTCAAATCAATACCACTTATAAAGTATGTATCCTGTAACCTGCTCAACAGCCCATAAATATGGTGACCGCGTTTACCTTCCTGGAATCTATGCACAGCCTGACTTTGTCTGGTTTCCGGACTAGTACCACTGGACTACACCACGGTGAGCTGATGGAAGTTTGGCTCATCTTCATTTGGAAAGTTTAAACACGAAACGATTGGAAATACATCGGGTGCTAACGCAAATGCCTTCCAGAAATCAACTCCAAGGTATGCTACTTGGATTAATGACGGTACAAGATAAAAGCGAATAGTCCTCGTAATATTTTTAAAAGTGACCGGTAAAGATATCGAGCCGAGTATTTTCTGCTGATTTCCACCAGCCGTATAAACAAACACGTGCAACGAATGATATTCTAAATTTTTTCTTTTTAGGAAACCTTCGCATCCGTTTCCAAGAATGGAAACGTTTGCTCCGGAATCCAACAAACCCACTACGAAACTATCGTATATTTTAATCCTCGCTAGTGGTCTCTCATCTGGTGTTATCAGAACTTTAGTACTTTGCAGAAGTTTACGCATATTTACTCGGCTAGAATATCTTTTCCTACACTGAAGTATATTTTCCGAAACCACAAGTTTGGGTTCTTCTTCGAAAATATTCGCCCTTATCGGTTCATAATCCTTTTCTCTTTGCTCTAAACTAACTAGGAATTGAGTCTGGCATGCGACATCCCTACGTGAAGGCCTAAGAATTCGAACCTGCAGAGGATTGGCTGTAGAAGAAAACATACACTCGGAATCAGAACTATCGGAACTATCTGGGAAGGTTATGATGACCCGTGGTGAAACCCTCGAGGGACTGGTATTACTCTCCGAACTACTGACATCTCCATGCAAACGAACGGTTCTGGCTGGAATTGGAGGCTGCTGCTCCTGTACTCCCTGCTTCGGGGGCTAGGGTGCCGAACGAGAATCCCCGATTGCCTTCTCGCTCGGGTTCCGGTTTCCCTGTCTCCGATGATCTCTGGGGCATCTTGGAGTGACCACCCCCTTCTGTCCACACTTGAAGCAGAACACGTTCTGAATAGCTTCCTCGCAATAGATGTATGAGTGTCCCATCTTGTCACAGTTCCAGCACTTTATTCCTGAAAAGTCCGGTTTCCTAGTCCTCTGGAAATTTAGCGCTTCCACTTGCGGATCCACTTCTCCATCCATTCCTCCTGTCCATTCATCCGGAGTAATAGCCATGGTTTCGTTGAGATGCCGTCCTGAATAGTTCGGTACCAAGCTCCTGGTTTCCTTCAGGATCTTTTCGCCTTTCCTAGCAACGTCACGTAGGTCATGTAGGGTCTGCGCACCAGCATTGAAAAGCATCAACTTCAGCCTGCTGTTAACGTTCCTCTTCAATATGTCCATCAACAGGTTCTCCGACATCGGCTCCTTTAGTCTCGCGTTCAAGGCTAATATATCAGTATGAAACGTATTATACGATTCATTAGCCTTCTGACGACGCATTGAGATCTCCATCATGATCTCATGGTCACTTTTTAAGGCGCCGAATTCCCGCCTGATAGAGTAGCACAAGAAGGGATAAGTCGCATCTGGATTCTGCTTAGTGAACAACCAATACCATTCCTCAGATCGCCCTGACAAAAATAGGTGGAAGCTTGCCATCAACTGCTCATCTGTACATTGCGGGCGCTCACACAACGTATTTAGTTTGAAAATACCTAGTTTGAGGATACCTTCCAATCCTGTGGCTTAATAACAATGTTGGTGGTAAAATTTAGTCGACTATTCAAAGTGGCTTGTGTCGGATTGCGTCCGATAGAAGCAAAGTCCCTAGGGCCTTTGGGTGCAGTTTGAGATGCAGTTACCACTGCACTTAATGCGTTCATATTTTCCCGCATTGTTCTCATTTCAGCTCTCATTTCTTCTTGCGAAGTACGTAAGACCTGATGAAGCACTCCTACCCACGAATCTCCACCGGGCGCTCCGCCATTAGAACGTCTACTTCTATCTTCTGCAATACCTTCACTAAAGCCGGTATTCCCAGGCAAAGACCTATCATTTTCCTGTCTTCCCGAAAGCATAGTCATGGAGGTAGCGGAAACATTCGGGACCGAAGTCCCAGGTGGTGAGGTGTCAAGTAAATTTGAACTTTTACGGCTATCAACTTTAAGTCCCGGAGCGGAATTGTTCATCGGAATCACCAGAGGATTAGTTGCTGGCATAGCGGGACTGGTATTCCTCCCGGCCCCTCTTGACTTTGTGCCGCTACCTCTAACTGAAGCACTGCGTGTTTGCCTAAGCTGCTGTTCCATCTACCGAGTGTTCAGTGGTGAGACAAATGCAATTAGGAATAGCAATAAACGTGACGCTTAAGGTCAAATCAAATCCGAATTAAAAGTCTACAATAGGTGGTTAAGGCTTGGCTCCCCCAGAGCTCAACCCAAAATCGAAAATCCGAGAAAATTTGTTTAGTTAAATTAAGCTTGCTTGATAGCATAAGCCTGAATGAACGTCCGAGAGAAAAAATAAATAAAAAAAAGATCACAAGATTTAACCGAGTGGCGCGATACTGCCGTGCCTGATAGCGGAAATTCAAAAAAAATCTAAAATATCTAAATGTATTCAATCCGCGTATTGAATATGAATATACGCGCGAAAAAGCAAAAAAAAATCAATCAAAATATAGTTAGTAAATAAACATGTGAAATTGGCTAATTACATATACGTGGTTATATACGTGTATTTATAAGATCGGTATACTTTGTTTATAAATAGGAAATATATATTTATCAAAGTCAATGGGAATGCTGACCCCCCTTGACATTAGGAAGGCACAATGTAGTCTGCGTGGAAAATTAAGGTACAAAGAAAACAAACACAAAAGTCCCTATTTGGTCCAGCACACCCAACCGCAGTGCAAAGCCGGCATAATGGAATGCCCTTCCAGACTTGAAGGGTGAACTGGACTTCGCGTACAAGTCTGCTGAGCTATCTTTCGGTTTCAGTGCACCCCACCGCAATGCAGCAAGGGGCAGTCAACGCATGCCCCCCTGAGACATGTAGGGTGACTGAGACCCCGATAGTCAGCATTGTTTTTAGTCCCAGCCCACTCCATCGCAATACGAAGGCGCTCAGGAGCGCCAGCGCNAGGGTGAACTGGACTTCGCGTACAAGTCTGCTGAGCTATCTTTCGGTTTCAGTGCACCCCACCGCAATGCAGCAAGGGGCAGTCAACGCATGCCCCCCTGAGACATGTAGGGTGACTGAGACCCCGATAGTCAGCATTGTTTTTAGTCCCAGCCCACTCCATCGCAATACGAAGGCGCTCAGGAGCGCCAGCGCAGACCTATGGAGTGAGCTGGGGTCCGAAAAAAAATTTAATTATCACTTTTTTCCCCAAAAAAAAACACGAGGTGAAAATAAAAAATATTCGGCAGAAAAAAAAACTAAAAGAAAAACCTATTTATACTAAACCCCACTTAGCGGACTATTTTTCCCCAATTCCCTTGCCGACATATCGGACCACTGAACAAGGTTGGGGAAAATTTTAAAAAGTCAACTTTTTAAAATCTAAGTGCGTTTAGCACCTCCTCACCGGGTGAATACAAAACTCCGGAGGGCGTGACGTGAAGTCTTGGAGAAGCCTCCGGTTGCTGACCAAGAGGACCAATCCGAACCAGCACATTCAGCTCCACTCATCCCGCCACAACGCAGCAAGGGGCAGCAATCACATGCCCCCCTGGGACTTGCGGGATGGTGAAGCCTAATGTGCCAGTCAGGACCAGTCAACCTGACCAGACCTCAGGCTACTTCGTTGGGCGCCATCTGTTATGGTACGCATACTTTGGGAGCAGCAGTGAGTGCAGTCGGCATGACACAATGGGGTGCACTGTGGCTAGTCATGTCGGCTGCGCGGGGTTCTTGCCTCACTACTGTTCCCTGCGCCATAGCAGAGAAAAGTCATGCTTTGTCAAACGTCTTAACGGACGGACACATAGCAAAAAAGAATTCAAAAAAAATCCGTTAAAACAAAAAAAGCTGAAAAAGAACGTTAAAATATAAAACAAGCTGAAAATCAAAAGAAAACGAAATACCAATCTAAGCAAAAACAAAAAGAACCTAAGGCCGAATTTAAGGGCGCCACTGGTGGAGTTGTGACGCCCGGTGCTGGCCCACCCTCATCCATGGCTACCGTCGCACCCTAATGTCGGTAGCCCTATTATAAAAGCCCTAATGTGCCTTCCTAAATAAACGAAGTCAGCATTCCAATTTTATGACTACAAATTTATTCAAAGTTCATTTCTTAAATCTAATTCCTTAGACTAATTAATCTAAGGCTAAGTCCTAACTAACAAAAGGGTCAGTATTCTTAAACAGCTAAGTATTTGGTATCTTAAGTCTAGGGTAAGTATCTCAATCGTAAAACTATAATTAAGGTAAGTATTAGTGTAGGTAATTGTGGGCAAGTAGTCTAATCCATTTAAATTTAGGATAAGTTAAGGTATAGGAGCATATACGGTAAGTATGTCCGGAAGATACGTCAGGTAAGTATATCAGGTAAGTGAAGAGTAACTAAAGTAGGGTATAGTTAGTGTAAGTCTGGCTGGTGTATTTAAGGTAAGTCAGGCAAATTAAACAGGTAAGTAGGTCTGGTAGGTAACTTTATTGTAAGTAAGTTAAGGTAAACTAAGGTAGCCTAGTTGAGTTTAACTTACAACTCTCTTCTATTTCTGTAATTATTTGTTCAATTCCATTTTAGGTGTTTGATTCTTTCCTTTTAGGTTTATTATTATTATAAGTTCTTTGTTATATAGTGACAATTTTCTTATTTTATGCTAATTTAGTTATTTATTTAAAATTATTTTAGTTGATTTTTGTTAAATTTATATTTTAAAAGTATTGATTTAATTTAAGTTGATTTAATTTCGTTTTATTTAACTTAATTTAATTTTGAGTTAGTGCATTGGAATTTGTCAATATATTACTTCTTTTATTTGTTATTTATTTAATTTTTTTGTTTCTGTAACGTGATCTAATTTCCGTTTTGGTTTGTTTGTTTCACTTAAGCCTAAGTTTTATTTCCCCCTATGCACGTACATATAAGCACATAGGTATATGTATATATGTATGTGCATATATGTATATATGCGTATGTGTGTACATATGGGAACAAAATTTACATATATGTACTTTTCCTTCTAATTGAGTTGTCAATCACATCTTGTTTAAGCTTCTAATTTCTTAAAACTATTGTTCTTGGGGTTTTACCCCTTTATTTATTTTATATATTTATAATTTTGCTTTCTAACTTAAAAAAAAAAAATTTAACTAAGCACACAAATTATTATTATTTTTTATTTATTTTTCTCTTTATAAACAAAAGATTTTAGTTTAGACCCGAAGGACTCACCCACGTGTTGCAGCAGGCCTTGGTGGGGGCCTGCTGTTGTTGTTGTTGCAGGATTCGTGTAGCGCTATGGTAGCCGCGCTGGTTGTTGTTGTTGTTGGTGTTGCGCGCTGTTGTTGCTGTTGCTGCGCGCTATTGTTGCTGATGTTGTGGTGGTCTCGCTGGTCGTTACCACTGCTGAGGCGGTGGCGGTTCTTGTCCGGGTGTCCTGATATGCGGTTGTGGTTGTACTGCGAGTTGTGTTGTACGGGTGTTGCAAAGCCGCTGCGATGGCGTTTGTGGTTGCGCTGGTGGTTGCAACCGCTATTGTGGTGGTAGTCGTTGCTGACGCAACGTAGTGGTTGCCGCACGTTGTTTCCGCTGATATGCGGTTGTGGTTGTACTGNACTGCTGAGGCGGTGGCGGTTCTTGTCCGGGTGTCCTGATATGCGGTTGTGGTTGTACTGCGAGTTGTGTTGTACGGGTGTTGCAAAGCCGCTGCGATGGCGTTTGTGGTTGCGCTGGTGGTTGCAACCGCTATTGTGGTGGTAGTCGTTGCTGACGCAACGTAGTGGTTGCCGCACGTTGTTTCCGCTGATATGCGGTTGTGGTTGTACTGCGAGTTGTGTTGTACGGGTGTTGCAAAGCCGCTGCGATGGCGGTTGTGGTTGCGCCGTGTTTGCTCCGCTGTTATAGCGGTTGTGGTGTCGCGCGTTGTTACCGCTGAAATGCGGTTGTCGTTGCTAACGCGTTTGAAATGCGGTTGTCGTTGCTGACGCGGCGTAGTGGTTGCCGCCGGGCGGTATGCAGACTGGCACTGTACCTGCAAAAGTTTAGATTAATTAAACGTGATTTTATATACGGACTAATCCCTAATGGATTCTAGAAGAAAAAATGAGATTTTACAAAGTTTAAAGCGTATTGCAGCTCTAATGAACTACGTCGCAAGTTATGAGGAACCGTTCTAGATGAATTTTCCAATAGTAAGTAGGGCTCAAGCCTTTCATCTGGGGTGATTCCGTGCGCAACATGTAGACATTTGCATATAAGTGTTTGTATGTGCCGCAGTTTCGACACCCCGGACTTCGTAGCCTGCGGTTGTTTTGTCCACTTTACCTCAGCACTTATACCCTTAACTACGCGAGTAAAGTAAGATTTACATAATTTAAGCATCAAGCATGATACTACCAAAAAAAAACACATCTAACGAAAATCGGTGCATTTCCACACTCGTTTTGCCATTTCGTTAAACTGAGTCAGATAGAAACTGCACTTTATTAGTTTCGATTTAGCAATTCGACCATGAATACGCATCTTTTACCTTGTTTATACATTTTATTAATGCCTCGTATAAGCACGGTACTTAATAATTATAAGAAAACTTACCTACTTCAATGTAGCCGGCGGTTGCTATCAATGGGATATGTTGCTGTTGGAGCACCCAATCGCGTACCATACGGATGCTAGCAGTCCTTTGATTATAACCCTCAAAAAGTAGAATTCTCTTTCTGTGTTGCGAAGAAAAGGCGCTGAACACCTTTTGCACAGAACACCTTTC